GGGGGGGGGGGGAAGGATTCCAACCTGTCTATCATATTCTTATATTCTGTATAGAGAATATGAATTGAAACTGGAGTGGATATTGGGGCTTCTTACAAATCCTAAACAGCAACCTGTAAGGCCTCAGGAAGATAGCTGTACACTTCTATGCTAGTTCCCTTGCTGTTCCACTGAGTCTGGAGAGCTACAGCTGAGAAAAGGAGGGGGCACCCCGAGAATTCCAACACCTGCAATGACCCAAAAAGTGAATGCTGATGTTTGTAACTCATGGAGGCATACAACAGTCCCCCTCTGACTTTTTTAATAAACCAGGAAGGGTAATGATGTAATACAGTTGTCATGGCTCTCATCCCTCCAAGAATCAGGTCCCTATGTTAGCAACAGTGCATTTTTCTGAATTTTGGTGTGTGTATGGATTCCACATGGCCCCAGATGCACTCTGCAGTGAACCCCAAGTACCACCAACCAGGTCATTCCCAGGTCACTTGGAAGACTGAAAAATCCCCAAATCCCCATAGGCCAGCAGATAGTGTGGACCATCATCTGCAACTGGACCATAATCACCTCCATAATCAGAAGGATGGGCAATAATGGCCTAGATGTCTCACCTGATGGGCCAGCTAACAATTTATTCCTCTCCCATTTCCCCTTAAATATTGTCAGACCAGATTACCACACTCAGGCAGTCTCACAGCTTTGCCCCACGGCTAGTTTTAGCTCTTAAAAACCCCTAGAATTCTCCCCTCAGTGTTGCTAATCAGAGTTCATGGGGACCCTGTGTCACTTTGTACTCTGATCTAGTTACCGGCACCTCTGTTCAACCCATGCTCTCAGAATGGTTGTGTCTCATGCCATTTCACCCAATTGGAGAAAGCTTCATCTGTAGTATCACCCGTAGTTTTGCCTCAATACCTTTTCCAAGCTAACCCCTCATTTCCTGAGCCTTGCATGAGTGCGTGAGTGTATGTGAATTGCTGTGTGATTTTCCCTTTTAATAAATAATACTTTAATTGGAGCATTCCGTCTCTGCATCAATTCTTAGATCCTCGAATTCTTGGTATACATGTGGGAGATGGTCTCACAGGGTCTTTGTAGCCAACTCCTTCTCGATTTGAGCTAAATAAAATTCCCTTCATAGACTTTTGGCTATACCTATACTTGGGTTGCACAAACTGAAATGGACAATGGACAGCCAGGGGAAAAAGTTACATCCACTGGATCTGTATTTGTTACAGCATTCATATCACAGCAGATCTAAGGATTCTGTATCCATGGATACAACCATCCTCAAAAATATTTTTTTTAAAAAAAAAATCCAAAAAACCACCCACAAACTTTGATTTCCCCATTTTATATAAGGAACTTTCCCACTGCTTACTATCCTACTGCATATAATGGAACTTCAGCATCCATGGATTTTGGTATCCATGGGTGATTCTGGAACCAAACCCCATAGATACCAAACTTAAAAAGGCAGTTCCACTTAATGCCATTGTAATTCACCAACTGATGGTGGATCCCTCAGAGACAACAGGAATTGCACTATTAGTTAATGCATGTTATGACTGCACAGAGGAAGGAACTGGTAAACTTCCTATGGAAGATCTTATGCCATGAAAACTCTATGATAACACAATCCAAAATGAAATAAGAGATAATGTGAGAAGGCACTTGACTGAGTAAGAGCAGAAGACAAGGACAAGTAGCACTGTAGCTCATGATGAAACCAGAATCACGCTGAGAGAAAGTTCCACTGCTTACATGCTCAGAGGTGAAAGAAAAGTCTGAAGCTGCACAACACATATTATAGGAACTTGGAATGTGAGAAGCATAAATCAGTGGGAGATAGATATAGTAAAAGAAGACATGGAATGTATAGACATTTGCAATACTTGAGTTAGTGAGCTAAAGTGCACAGGAATGGGACAGTTTGTTGGTGAGGGGAAAAGCCAACTACCAGCATAGTCTGGGGACAAGTCTACCCAGACATAGCCAAAAATGCTGTAGCAACAGAAAAAGAAAAACCACAAAAGCAAAATACCCAGCTATTGGTATTGGCAATGCACTGACCCACTTTCCACAGTCATAA